CAAAAATAAAGATAAGGATAAGAAGATTAAAGAAAAGAAGGAGTCTAAAAATCTAGACTCCTTCTTAGAATCGAGCGAGTTTTTATACAGGCTAAGAATGCTTATAATTTCATCACTGACAAACTTATCATTGAATAGACTCAAGGGAACAGATAAATGAACAATATTTCAGATAAGTAATGTCGTCTCTCTTTAACCACGCGGAAGAAATAACTGTTAGGAAATAATTGTTAAAAAAGTAACAATTTTCGAAGTGTGTTTGTAAGAAAAAGTAATCTGTTAAATTTATTTTGAATTTTAAAGTTAACTGAAATATGTAAAATAATAGAATTAATCCTTCAACTACAGAGAGTAAAAAAGCATTTTTAATATAAACCTTTCAGAGTGTAAGGGATGGGTTTTAAGTTGAAAAAACTAAATTTGACACGAGTATCGACACAATAATCGTTAGTACAGCTAAATTAGGGACGGCCCTAGTGGAGATAGCCCTAGTGTAGCTGTGCGCGAAATTCAAATGAAATCAAAATCTTACCAATTAATTACTGTACTTTTAAAACCTTCTTTCTTGCGTTTCATATAAAGCTGAAGTCCCCCCCCAGTTGCACAGTGGTATGTCTGCGGACTTACAACGCTAGAAACCGGGTTTCGATACCCGTGGTGGATAGAGCACAGATAGCCCATTGTGCAGGTTTGTGATTAACTACAAAGAAACAAACAATATAAAACTAAAACCAAATATATAATTTTCAACCCTGGACGTTTCTTATCAAAACGATTGCACTTTACTTAGAAAGTTTTCTTGTCTGATTGTTCTTTTAATTAGTAGGACCGAACCTTAGGCCTTAGGAGTATTAGCGTGACAGACTTCTGTTCCCATGATTCGCGTCGGGGTGTCGCAAAAAAAATCACTTTTCGTGATTTGGAGTTGTTGATGCCTTATGAAAGTAACAGCCAAATCCCAGTATTTAATTAGGGGAGCTCAAGAGAAGGCGGCGGGTGCTGTTACTAACTGTTGGCTGGCTATCAGTTCGAAATTAGGGATGGCTAGCGCAGATAGTTC